AAACTCAGCCGCAGGCACTGTCACTCAATATCCTCCTAGCCAGCAACCTACTTTAACTAATGGAGAAAGTAAAATCATGATCCAAACCCAGCTCTGATGTACCAAAGCCTAAAATGCGGATCTAAACCCAAAACCCACTCCCAAAAAAACAAAAACTCTAACCCAAACCTAGAACCTAACCCCGAGTAACCAAAGCGAGACTCAAGACTTAAAACTTGTAAACTAGAAGTAAAAGCTTACCAAAGAGTAAACCTCGAACAACCACTATTTGTTTTTTCAATTTTTGGGATATGGGATGAGGCACCATCTCCAGGTTTCCTCCTAGGTTTGATTATATGAGTTATTTGCCTTGTTTATGTCTTTGTTCTTTGTTTCTATTATTGCAACTAAACGATCATTTTACATATATAGGTACGCGTCAACCTGCAAGACCTTGGAACATCATTCTTGAGGTAATTTTAATTCAATCCATTCATTGAAACCATAGAGGTTTAGGTATGATGTGTTTTTGCTTCCTATTCTGTAGCTTAGTTTTCAGATGTTTATTATGTGTTGTTTCTGAAGTCTTTGCACTCCATTTCTGTGTTAAATCATTGCCTCATAATAAGGGCATCTTTGATAGTGCTTGAAATCCATTATGCAAATGGTTGAAATCCTGGTGTTGTTTGAAAGTGTTTGAAATCCATTTATGTGTTAGATAATCTGGAAGTGCTTTTTATTTATGTGCTCTTTTTAAAGTGCTTGAAATTCAGTAATTTCATAAAAATCTAAAACAAACCCCGAAGTATGTGTGGTGAATTTTGTTATTCGTCTATGAATTAAATTAAAATGTCTTTAAGCTTAGGACAGTATGAAAATAACCGACACTTCCAAATGTATGAAACTAAATAGTTACTATTCAAAGGTACCACATCTCAAAGAAAAAACTGGCATAATTTAAAGGCTACTGTTCCGACCCATGAGTTTCATTATCTATCAATATCCTCTCAGCCAATATGTGTCTCCCTTCAACAATCTTTTATTAATTCCACTGACCCATCAACCCAGATATTAATTTAGGTGTAATAGCAGGTATCCTCCCAGGTAGAATGATATTAGTTATTTGGTTTGTTTATAGGTGTGTTGTTTGCCACAATTAGTAGAAGTAAATAAAAAACATTTTTTAATTACAGATACGCCTAAATCCGCAAGAACTTGGAACATCATTCTTCCAAAAACCAGCCCAAAGCACCAGACCCAAAACCCGGATAGTAAACCCAAAGTCCCAGACTCAAAAACAATCCCAAATGCTATAACCCAACCTAGAGTCTCGGTAGGGATTTTGTTTCTTACTTTGGGGATTGGACCTGATTTTGGGTTTGGTTTTGGGTTAGGTTCTAGGTTGACCTTTAACTTTAGTGTTTGACAATCAAATTTGCGTTAGGTTTGCGGGTACAATCCGTTGGGTTTTAATTTTTAGGTCAGACTCTAGGTCGTGTTTTGAGTTAAGGCAATTGCGTTTTACTGTCTTGTTTTTTGTTGTGGTTCTAAATACTATCAAAATGTTGTGGTTCTAAATACTATCAACCTCAGATTTCCGGATTCTAGGCGTTGCGTATCAGATGTGCAGATTTCCCGGTATGATTGAAACATCTTCTCTGATTCCTCGTCTTGTATTTATCGATCCTTTTCTTAATAATCCCCTGCCAATTATTTCAGCATGTACGTTGGGCAATTTATATTCGATTTTGGGAGATGGGATGAGACACCATCTCCGAGATTCCTCCTAGGCATAATCTTATGAGTTCTTTGGCGTGTTCTTCTCTTTGTTGTTTGTTTCTATTACTGAAAGAAGGGTCATTTTTCACCTACAGGTAGGGCTGAACCTGCAGCAGTTTGGAAAATTATTCTTCAGGTATTTTAAATTCCATGTATTCAAGAGTGTGATGGATCCAAAATTTTTCACCCCAAGTCCATGCCCCTTATCTTGCCCCGTACTTCCACCCCTCCCAACAATTTTTCCATTAAACTCAGCCGCAGGCACTGTCACTCAATATCCTCCTTGCCAGCAACCTACTTTAACTAATGGAGAAAGTAAAATCATGATCCAAACCCAGCTCTGATGTACCAAAGCCTAAAATGCAGATCTAAACCCAAAACCCACTCCCAAAAAAACAAAAACTTTAACCCAAACCTAGAACCTAACCCCGAGTAACCAAAGTGAGACTCAAGACTTAAAACTTGTAAACTAGAAGTAAAAGCTTACCAAAGAGTAAACCTCGAACAACCACTATTTGTTTTTTCAATTTTTGGGATATGGGATGAGGCACCATCTCCAGGTTTCCTCCTAGGTTTGATTATATGAGTTATTTGCCTTGTTTATGTCTTTGTTCTTTGTTTCTATTATTGCAACTAAACGAT